TGTAAAGCTGTAAATTTCCACCTACAGATTAAGTGTATTCTGGCCGAATTCTTTTCTGAGGAAGGCAACAGTCCAGAAAGGACCAATTAGGGCAAAGAGTAAGTCCCCTTGCTTCTACGCCCTGTGCTGATTTCATCTGTCCCCTAATAAAACTACCCAAAGTTTCCAAATTCACCTACGTTTTTATTTTAAAAGACTATGCGTGTGTGCTTGAGTGTATGTGTGTGTGCAGATGCCAGCAGAAGCCCCATGAGGGCTTCAGATCCTCCAGAACTGCAGTTCCAACAGACACGAGCCGCCCAATGTGGGTACTGGGAACCCAAACTCGAATCTTTACAAGAGCAGCAAGAGCTCTTAACCTTTGAGCTATCTTCCTAGGCACTCACCCATGTTTATAATCTTAAACTTTACTTTTCATTACGTATATGTGTGTATGTTGGTAAACCGAGAACCACCCACATTAATCACCCTGGTGATGCCCTCGCCCAGCTTCAGTAACCGCCAGCGGCCATGTCATCACCAGCAGCCAAATTCAACATATTTCCACTGTTACCACAGGTAGTCTTCCTGTGCACAAACTCCATACCATTTATATAGGCTAAGCGTTCATAGCTTGCCACGCTGCATCAACACTCAGAGACAGCCTTTTATATAACTACCCTCCAATAAATCTCTCCAGTGAGGTCTTTTGCATGGTGTTATTTTGTGGTATCCCTTGGCCCTCCAATCACTGCAAAATCCCTTACAGTATACACGTGAGTTCAGGTTCCTTTGGGGATCAGAAGAGAATGTTTGGGCCCCTGGAAATGGAGTTGAAAGTATCTGTGAGCAGCCTCACATGAGTGTTGGGAACAGAATTCAGGGCCTGAGCAAGAGCAGTATGCTGCTCTTAATAGCTGAGTCATTTCTCCAGCCCCTACCTGTTTTTATATGCTCAAATAGATATAGCTTAATATTCCAACTACATAAAAGTGGTTTCCAACTTGAAATGTTCTGAGCATATATTGTGGAATAGACATGATGCACATGAATCTGTAATGCAGCAAAACAAAGGCATATCCTAAAAGGAATTTAGGGAATTTTTCTTACAGGAGGGAATAGATTGGTACACAGGGATGGATGAAAATGTAAGAGAAATATATAAAGGTGTATGTGTTGTGATTCACTGGACTTGAGAAACCAGAAGTCATGGAATTGTTATTGATGCAGATAAAATCACGTAAGTAAGTAGAAAAGTAACTAGGAAGGACCAAGCATGTGGAGAACATCTTTATTCCCAGCACCTGAGAGGCAGACCTCTGTGAGTTCAAGGCCAGCCTGATCTCCGAGGAGGGTTCATGCCAGCTAGAGACAGTGAAATCCTGGTGAAGGAGAGGGAGAGGTTTGTGAGATATTCCGAAGAGTATAAGTTATTTTTTTCCAACACAAGGGAGTGCTGTAACCAGGTATACGTCTGTGAACCATTAATCAAACTACACATATTGGGAAAGATGAAGACTTTCATAGATATATAATATTTTTAACAGGATCTCATTATGTAGTTCTGACTGGCTTGGAATTCTCTATAGAGGTAGGATTGCCTGGAACTCACATAGATTGACCTGCTTCTGTCTCCCAAAAATATATATGCACAGTTCTTGTACTAGATTTAGAACTCTGGAATTGCCGGGCGGTGGTGGCACACGCCTTTAATCCCAGCACTTGGGAGGCAGAGGCAGGCAGATTTCTGAGTTCGAGGCCAGCCTGGTCTACAGAGTGAGTTCCAGGACAGCCAGGGCTACACAGAGAAACCTTGTCTTGAAAAACCAAAAAAAAAAAAAAAAAAAAAAAAAAGAACTCTGGAAATCAGGAAGATTAGGAAGAAGTAACTATGAGAGACATTAAGGTTAGAAATCCAACAAAATTAGTGATGAACTGCAAGATACTCAGAGAGAAGAACAGCAGGGAGCTGGAATATATCCATGTTTCTCTCTCTTTCTTTTTTTCTTCCCCTGCCCCAGGTTTCTCTGTGTATCCCTGGCTGTCCTGGAACTCACTCTGTAGACCAGGTTGGCCTAGAACTCAGAGGTCAACCTGCTTCTGCCTCAGAGTGCTGGGATTAAAAGGTGTGCACCACTGCCCAACAAGTAATTTTTTTCTCTTAAGACATGGTATAAAAAATTAAAAAAAAAAACAAAAGCCGGGCAGCAGTGGCGCATACCTTTAATCCCAGCACTTGGGAGGCAGAGGCAGGTGGATTTCTGAATTCGAGGCCAGCCTGGTCTACAGAGTTAGTTCCAGGACAGCCAGGGCTACACAGAGAAACCCTGTCTCGGAAAACAAAAACAAAAAACAAAAACAAAACAAAAAAAAGACATGGTATAATGAAGCCCAGTCTGGCCTCCTACTCCATATATACCCAAGTTTGACCTTGAACTTCTGATCTTATTTATGCCTTTCCAGTGAGGGCATTACAGGCAAGTGCCATCAAGTCTGGTTTATGCAGTCCTGGAGACCAAACTCTGTGTTTAGTAAGTGCTACCCAAGTACTGTACCAACTGAATACACTCTCATCCCACTTCCTGTTTCTTTCTTGGGTGTTAGAAAATGCTATTGAGTATGGAAATTAGGGTTACAGAGGTAGTTTGGCAGTTAGGAGCACTGACTGCTTTTCTCGAAGATCTAAATTTGGTTGTCAACACTCAGTTTAGGCAGCTCACAACCACCTGTGACTCCAGCTCCAGGGGATCAGGTGATGATATCCTTTTCAGGGCCCCGAACACATATGGCACTTCTTTTAAATATGTGTACTTTAGGGGTTCTTTTGGTGGAATGAAACACCATGACCAAAAGCAACTTGGGGAGAAAAGGGTTTATTTCAATTATACTTCCTGGGAATAGACCATCACTGAGGGAAGTCAGAACAGAAACTCAGAGCAGGAGCTTGGAGGCAGGAGCCATAGCAGAAGCCGTGGAGGAGGGCTGCTCATTGGTTTGCTCAGCTTGATTTCTTATAGAACATAGGCCAGCCAGTCCATAGGTGGCACCACCCACAATGGGCTGGGCCCTCCCCCATCAATCACTAATTAAGAGAATGCTCTTCAGGCCTCTTTACAGCCCAGTCTTATGGAGGTATTTTCTTAATTGAGGTTCCCTTCATTTTGGATGTCTTTAACAAGCTTCAAGTCTAGCACAAGCCAGGCAGTGGGTGCACATACCTTTAATCCCAGTATTAGGGAGGCAGAGGCAGACAGATCTCTGTGAGTTCAAGGACAGCCTGGTTTACAGAGAGAGAATGAGTTACAGGACAGCCAGGGTTACATGTAGAAATCCTGTCTTTAAAACAAACAAACAAACAAACAAACAAACAAGTGAACAAATTTTAAAACCCCTATCCAGCACAGTGTGAAAACAGAGGAGCTGGACTTCTGAGACTCTAAAGCGCTGAGCACCTTAAGTTTAGGGCTGTGCAGGCTGAACTACACCATTAGTCATTAGCTCATACACACCCAGCCGTAGCCAGGGGCAGACATGTCCGGGAGAGTTCAGAGTGCTCATGACCCTGACCCTGATGGAAAGAAGGCGGAGAAGGGAGAGAGGAGAACCAAGCACAGCAGCCAGGAGGCCAGAAGTACAAAGGAAGCAAAAGAGGGGCAGAGAGACAAGGAAACCAAAATGTCTGGGTTACATTAGGGAAAAGCCTCTGGGAGAAGGGCAGCCCAGCTCCTGGGCCAGTAAGTTCAGGGTAGAGGGCAGAGTATGCCAGCCATACCTTGGAACAGGTAGGAGCCAAAGAACGCTGGGAGAACCTGGAGGCCAGGTCCTCTTTAATGTATTAAATAGGCACCTCAGCTGCTTGTCCAGGGTTTGAAACTTAACAGTGGGCACACATCCCACTCCACATTCCCTGCCTCCATTGGGAACCAGAGATCCTGGTTTCAGAGCAGGCTATGAACTGCATTCCTTTCTCTGAGAGCTACAGGAAAGGACCACATCTCCGCCATGTGGGCCTGAGTCCTCTCTTTAGAGTCACTGCCATGCTTTCTGTCTCTGGCACTGGAACCTGAGCTCTCCTCAGAGCCTCTATCACACTGTCTGTCTGTCCATGGTGCCAAGAGCCCATGATGAAAGGTTTCAGATGTGGATTTCCAGAGGGACACTTAAGAATGACTATTGGGGTTAAGAGTTACTAATGCCAGGCTGGAGAGAGGTTAAGAGCACAGACTGCTCTTCTAGAGGTCATGAGTTCAATTCCCAGGAACCACATGGTGGCTCACAACCATCTATAATGAAATCTGGTGCCCTCTTCTGGCCTGCAGGTGTACAAGCAGGCAGAACACTGTATACATAATAAATAAATAAATCTTTTAAAAAAAGAGTTACTAATGCCACAGACAATGACATGTGTGAGTATGGTGAGATCACCCAAGAAGAGTAAGCTGGGAGAAGGGTACAAAAATGAAAGACAGACAAGTGTGGTGACACATACCTTTATTCCCAGCACTGGTAGGGAGGCAGAAGCAGGTGGATCTCTATGAGTTCTAGGATAGCCTGGTCTACATAGTAAGTTCCAGGCCAACCAAGGCTACATAATGCCATGTCTCAAAAACAAAACAAACCCCTAAAAAAGAAAGACATATGCAGAGGCCCCAACAGTTAAGAGACCATGTATGGATTGGCCCCAGACTTTCCTTTTCTTTCCCCCACCTTTTTTCCCTCTCTGTCTTGTGATACAGGGTCTCATATAACCCAGGCTGACCTCACGTTCCCAATCATCTCCCTCCCAAGTGCTGGAGTTATAGGCCCGTGCTACCATCCCTGGCTGTGAGTTGTCATCTGCCCTGTGTTTAAGGTTATTCTGTATCTTTACAATCTCAGATTTTCTCTTCATATAATACTGGTCTCTTGTAAACGTCAGCATTTTAAGCTGACCAAGGAGCTTGTATCCATAGTCACTGGTTCATTTATTCTATCTTATTTGT